ACCATTGGGCGCCAGCCTCGAACCCGAGAGTCACTTCAAGACTTCGTGACAGACAACTACTCCGAGGACCTCCGTCCGACACTGAGCAATAAACCTACCACCAGAACCCGGGCTACTCGAAAACTTCGGTTCCCAAGCCCGTCAATCCCCGTGAAAAACCTTCGAAGGTCAAACATTCTGAAATGCTTTATATGATTCCGCGCTTAATAGTTATATGAGATAGCATTTTCTAACCTCAATAAATCGGAAGTATCATCTTTCCAGATGGAGTATGCGATGTTTTGTTAATATTTTTAAGTAAATATATATTTTGGCTTATGTATACATAAGAAAATTTCATCCGCCGAGATAATGCGTGACGTACATGTACATGTACGCGACGTACGTACGTCGCGCAGTATACATGTATTGCATACATGCATATATTATATATATTGATAAATTTATTATTACATATTTATCCGATAGATCGGATATCCCCGAATTACACGTGGGGCTGTAGCAGGTACGCAGGACTCTTGGTGAGCTTAACGCCACCAAATCCGCAGGACCAGATGGCATTTACCCAGCCTTAGTTAGACACAGCTGAGGTTATAGGGGGGTCACTATGCCGCCTGTTCAACAAAACTCTAGAGCAGGGCAGGATACCACAGGACTGGAAAACGGAAACTGTGGTCGCCATACACACGGGAGGGCCGAGACTCAAGGTAGAAAACTACCGTCCAGTTAGTCTCACAAGCATCTTGTGCAGAGCGCGTCCTGTGCAACCTGACCTGACCTGATCTGACCCTTACCAAGGCGGAGATGATTGGTACGAGAAGGAAACACGCATAACTCCAATATAGAACACTCGCAGTTGTAGGGGCTGACACGTGGCTTACTACCGAAGGAACTCTGGATACTCGATTAGACGTGATCATCTTCTGTCCTGTGCAAGCTGACTGATATATGCGATAATCGATATTTTGGTCAAACCTTTATTATATTATTGGATCCCTCATGTATGCAGTCTGCTGAGGTACGGCGCCTGTCAAATGATTGAGCTTGCTGTTACCCCGCGGGCAATGCTGCTCTTCATCTCTTCTCTTGTAGGAAAAAGATCCATCACGCAATTGTGTGATGGATGTTTTTCCAGGTAGTTCCACGGTTAACTGTGGTCGCAGCACAGTGGGAATCAACAGCTCACAAATGCAAGAATCTGCAGGACGTCCACTGGCCGAAGCCAAAGGCCCTGTGACCTGACCTGACCTGAACTGACACCAAAATCTGGAGTAAAATCGAGGATCCGAATAATCGAAGTTCTCTTCAAATGAATTTGAACAACTTGGCTCAGTGGACGGACACCTGGGCTCTTCCAGTCAACACCGCAACGTGTGCTCACCTGCACTTGGGCCGTTCTGACTCAGAGGTAGTCTACTACTTCCAGGGAACCACATTGCGAAGAACATCGTGCGAAAGAGACCTGGTAGTTATGGTAACGTCTTCATTAAAGACCAGAGAAAACACCGATCGGGTCTGTGCTAGCGCATGGAGCATTCTGGGGCCTATTTGGCGGTCTTTCAACCAGCTAACGATGAGCGCTTTCAGACTGCTGTACGCTTCCCATGTCAGACCAAGACTTGAGTATTTTGGTGCAGCGGCATACCCCTGCACGGCCGGTGACCTGGCTAAGTTGGAGCGTGTACAACATGCTGCCACTAGACTTGTTGTTGGACTACGCGGGATCAGCTATGAAGGTCTTCCACAGTCTACTGGTCTGTTCTTAGTTGCGTATGGGCGCCTCAGGGGAGATCTCATCTGTCGGAGGAAGATTATGAAAGGTGATATGAGCCCGAAGCTGTAACAGTATTTCCCTTTACGTACAGAGGACCGCACGCGGGGGCACTCTCTCACGTTGCGTAAACTTCAGTCAGTTGGTCTTCCGCTAGTCTACCGACTCTAGTTAGGTAATCAACACTCTGGAATTCCCTTCTAGCAATCATGGTGAAGGAAAAGACAGACGCTGTTTTCAAACAGTGGTGATGGGGCTTACACCGGAACCCTGCCCTCTGCCCTCAATATTGAAGACTGAGGATGGGAATTCCTATGGTTAGATCGAGTCCCATATGAGTCTTATTCGGGACAGTCCCATTGGAGTCCTGTTTTGGATGTAAACGGACTACCATGGGACTCGGATAGGACTCAAATAGGAGGGATGTTCGGACTGGGAATTGTTTCCGCCATCTCCTATCAAGTCTAGTTTTGAAGGTATGCACTGTTTGGGGATCAACTATTTTCTTTGTGAGCCGGTTCCAGCCATTGACTATCCTATTGCAGAAGAAAAGCTTCTGCGTGTTTAGCCGTCATCTCTGCTTCAGGAGCTTGAACTCATGCTCCCTAGTGCCATGTTGTGGAGCTATTGTGAAGCAACTTCCTGCTCCTACTCCCAATATTGCCTTCATGATTTTGAAGGTTTCCATCAGGTCTCCACGCACTCGTGGAGGAAGAAAGAGTGAGATTGCAGTCTCATTCTTCCTAATTAGACAAGTCCCAGAGCTCATATTCTTTCTTCATATTTCCTTCCTCTTTGACTTTCAACCATTCTGGTGGCCAATCTCTGAAATTTCTATAAACAGGCAGCATACTTCCGGAATAAGTGTGACCAAGCCTATACAAATACTCTATGTGTGGTCTGACTATGGCTTTGTAAACAGGAATGAAGACTTCCCGACGTATGCATGTTAGGACCGACTGTAGTACAAATAATTTTCCTAGCCTTGCGCGTGGCTACTGAACACTAGTCAGACCACTTAAAACTGTTTGACATCACTATCTCTAAGTCCCTAATCCTAGTAGCGGGTTCGATAGCGAACTGGTGCTCTTCCGGTCTGTCGAATGCCCCTGTGAGCGCATGACTCTTGGTTGAGTTAAGACTTACGTCCCATTCCTTTGCCCATCTAGCTACTTGCTCTAAATCTCGCTCCAGATCACTTTTTCCATTCAAACCAACCACTTTGACGTCATCTGAAAAATGTGAACATTTCATAAATATTCTCTCCATTTTGGTGGCGGATGTTCTTATTCACTTCATCTGGTTTCCACCGTCTATCCAAGTGTTCGGCACTATTGCATTTGCGTTGTCAACGATGGACTCGATGTTGACAAACATCTATATAAAAAAATGTTTTATTATTATGAAAACCCTAACCGTGCATCTCATCGTGCGCGGAGGATTCATCCGCACATAGACCTTTGCACTGCACATCATTGGCGCTTACCACACTTACGTCGCTTCACATAGCCAAACATCGGTAAATACAGATGTGAAAGGATGACAGTGATTTGACGAAAAACATTCACATGATAGAAAGAGCAAAACCCATCAACAATCACCATGAGTCAACCAACGTGAGTTAATATTGCCCAACAGGTGTTAGGAAGGTCTGTTTCCCTGTGTGACCCCCTCCAGTTTATGCGCAAGTAAAAGCTATCGGCCACCAGTGGTTGGCACATGGCCCGAATCATGAGGTCTGACCGAATCATCAGTGACACGGAGTAGGTACTTCACCTACAAAGTAAGTAAATAATTGAGTGGATACCAACTACGTTTCCTTTAGGCTCCCTGGCTGGGGACCCAGAGATGATGGTCACCGACGATCAGAGAGACTGAGCGATATAGCTGGGTGTCACAAACAGTGGCGCTCATGCATCTACTCATCATTCTTGTAACTTCAGTCTAGGAAAATGTGCTATCTTCCGCTTGAGTCTGCTCTCAATATTCTTATCATCATTCTGCTGTTTGATCCAAATGGAAAACCAAAAGACAGCAACCAAAACGGGCGCAAGAAAGTGCATGGTTAATGGTTGTAAGAACTGAAATGAACTGAACTGAAGTTTGCAAAACCTGTTTCAGCTTTCATTCTCTTTATCAGATCAGTTTTGGTTGGTAATCGATAGTAGGCCGTTGGTTTGTTGGTCCAAATTATTTGATTTTTACCTGCTAAGAATCCAACAACGTGGATGGTCAATTCTTTCATGACCTCTGTTGTCGTAATAATGAAAAATATTTATAAATTATCGAATCACGCAAGGTGCTGTTTACTTTTTTGAACATTTTCAATTGAAAGCTGGTTACAGAATCCGTTTCTTTTGTATTTTTTCATTTGAACAAAACAATCTATACTAAAGTACTATTTAGCAAATATGGAATAAATGATGATAATAATAGTATAATAAAAAACGGGTATCATAACTATTGTTAGACACTTCGTTATGTACCATGACCTGTGGATCTAAAAAGAATAACTATAACTAAGCGTGGTGCTATCTTGCGGGACATTTTGCTATTTAGTATGTTGCGTACCAGATCTGAACATTTATAATATTATATATTGTTCGTTTGCTTACGATTCAATGCCAATGGGTCACGAGAAAATTTTACCCCTAAATATGGCCAATAAATTGCAGTAATCCTTCATATTCTTCAATGACCTTTCCGGAAAAAACTAGGAGATTTCGTCTATTCTTTTTAATTTCTACTTTCTTTTATTGAATGCTCGGTGATACAATTTTCAGAAAGGGGAAGCGGACAATCAAAGGGCTGCCATACAACACAAAAATGGGGAAAGTCAGGGGGTGTTGGTGGGATTTAAACACTCGTCCCTGGGGTGATAAATTATTGACGTTACCACAGTGCCACCACCGCCCTATCTAGTGAAGGCGTGAGTGCTGAAACACCCAGATTGGTTCTATCCTTCGTAGTAGTGCCCTTCAAACTGCAGTCGTACGCTTCATTTTATCATGCCGATTCTTCGAAACAGCGGTATCCAATGTCAGTGTGTTGGAATGCTCTTTCAAGGAATTCGAATTTGAAGAGACAAAAGCTTTTGTCAGCCTTTTGTCACTTCAAATTCGTCTGAAAGTGTTATTTCGTAATAATAATGATAATAATAATAATAATACAAGGAAAATAATAAGAGTAATACAACGGAGCAGTGAAGACAAATCCTGTTTAACGATATCTTCAACGTTGAACTTCCTGATGTTAAATCCCTATAAGGTACCTATTCTGTTATTCGGCGCCGTTGATACTTTTGCTGACTTCAATCAGCGATGGACTTCCCCATTGTATTCCTAAAACTACGGAGCATAACCACGTGGATGCAAGATGTGGTTGAAACAAGTTAGTCCATTAATTCGTGATTAGGGAAGTGGGTTTGTTACCAGCAAGAAATCCCATCTCGTTCACACTTTACCAATCCACCCTTCCTTAAAAAGTACCTGTTTGATAATAATTTGCGTATGTTTATCAACCCAGTTAGCACTCGCGTTGGACGAACATTCTTCCTAGCACCAAGAAAATGTAGTAATGTGGTCACTTTAAATCAGTTTGTAGTAGGCAGTAGGTAATAATTTGTATTTCAACTATGTTAACTTTCTTTCTGGTTTGATGAAAATTATCATTTATTCAGTATACATTGATTCCAGAGAGTGAATACATTAGTCCAGATTTATGACCTCATTTTTATCAGTCTTTTGTAGTTTTCTATCGGTTTTACAATCGTGGGATGCTAAAAATGTTAGCATCTATTTTTATGGAAGCTTACCCCAGACAGAAACAATTACAAACTGTGTACTTATAGAACCATATTGACTTCATACACCATTCCTTATCGTTACTAATTTCTTAGCACATAAAACCTCGAATAATAGCCAGTTTAAGATTTTCAAGGATTGAAAGACCTGAGAGTATCAGTTACTCAGCACCTCAAGCCAACGTATGGACGAGAAGAAAAACATTTCATACACCTTTGATTTGACGAATAACTGAAGCACTCATTTTCTAATGTGAAACCATTATCTCTCCGTACAATGAGTACTGTGTTGAGACAAGAAAATCATGAAGAATGCTGTATGAATAGAAATGGTACCACCTTAAGCCTCTCATCCATCTCCTGTTGAATCACTGAGATGTGGATTACAATCTAGACCCGGAACAACTGGGTATAGACTCCAAGGTATGAACAAACTCAAAAAAAGTAAAATTAATGGTTGCAAGAAAGAAGGTAAAAGCTATGAATGCATCGATTAATGACGAGCAGAATTAATAACTTAAAACTGGACAGATCTTCAATGGATCGAATGTCCGAGAAATTGTGTAAATCAACGTACAGTCTGACCACATGAATTAGAAATCATTGAAGCGAGCGCTCACTGCCAACTCATCAAACAAATTCCTCCGACAGAGGCAGCGTAATAGCAGTACAGTAATGTGCGATTCGTTTGCACCATTCAGCGAGATATTGAGACAAACGCAAGGGTAAGGAAGAAAATCAGCTGGAATCTTTTCCATGAAAATAGTAGGAAATCTGCCACACAGAAAAACAAACCTCTATAGATAATGCCATTAAAAGCGTGAAACGCGATAGATACCATTCTGTATTTTTACGTCACTCTTTATATTCTTTTGTATCACCGAATACATAATAAGCGATATACAAACGGGCTGTAGTTTTTTATATTCAATTATTCCTAAGAAAATATATATGAGACTTAGAGGGTTAGTAACATACTGAAACAATACTCTAATGGGTACGTACACTCTTCATCAGATTTCATGTTTCTCCGTGAAGTGTGAATCTAGGCTTCTTAGGGAATACTAATCCGTTATCATATCTCATATATGCATTTCAACTTACTGTACAGCAAATACTGTATTTGTGCTTGCCTAGACATTTACATTCGCAACTGCTAGATGATGCTGTAGAATAGTTAT